CAACTACCAACTACCTGGATAATATCCTCCTCTACTGATACTTTGTCCAGGAAACTGTATCAGTCCCGCCGGTGTCCCACTGTGGGGAATGGATCCCCTTGTGGTGAGAATAACAGAAGCTTCATCTCCGCCGTGCTCCATTACAACCACATCCAGTTGCGGACTGCTTAATAGGATGCATATGGCCTTAGAAGTTCAGGTTGTTTAACTCCAGCAACCACAGTGCTTATTCTTATTTTTGCTTTGCTCTGATTGCACATGCACTGTGCTATTTGCCGTGTTGCTTCTCTCTAATTGCCTTATTCACATTGCTAGAAATACATCCTGTGCATGGCTGACCATTCTTTCCTCCTGATCATTCTTTTACATAGGGATAACATGTAAACCACATGCACCATTTGTCTTGTTCGTGTTTGGTGTGTATGCAACTATAGATTTAGGTTTCTCATGCAGCAATCTTAGGAATAAGGTTACCCTTTGAGGGAGGGGAGAAAATGAATTAAATTTGGTTTGGGTACTAAAAGTAGACCTTTTTTAGTAAAAAAAAAAAAAGATTAGGTGAAGAAAAATGCTTTTTTCAGTACATCTCCAAAGAAAAGAATAGACAAAATGATCATCAGCAGCTCCTGAGTGGTAATCAGGCTGTCTTTACTTTCCTACACTTTTTAACACTCACCTTTGTTGGTGTTCTCTCCTTAAACTCCAGTTGCCTGCTTCCCCAATTCCTTTGTCTGTTTGGAAAAATCTTCTCAGATCTCCCTCTTTAAATCACATCACCGGTTCCCTTACCGTCCTCCTGAAAACACCTACGTATTTGGATTTTCCATCACTCAGTCACCTGTCGTTACATCCTCAAACATTTACAACTCCAGCCCCCAAACCTTGAACAAAGACAAAAACAATAGCTAGAAATGTCTGCAGGCAACAACAATCAAACAACACAATGACAGTAATTGGTTGCATCATTACATTTTTGGAAGTTATATACTTCCTCATAAACGTAATAAATCTTTGCAACCTCTACAGTTGCTATGTTATTACATTTGTGAGAAATGTACTACATTTGTTGGATTCTTACTTTAATCCAAAACATATTCTTTATCATGTTTGTGGTTTATTACCTTTTTGGGCATTATACTCCTTTCAAACCCACTTTGATATACTCTCCTCCTGGTACACCATCCTCTCCTCCACCAGTCAGAAACATTTTTTTTTACATTAGAAAACAATATTTGAATCATTTCAAAACTCAGATGTTTACTACTTACTTTCTTTTAATTGCCATCCTGGAACCCTTAATATAGCCTAGACGAATCCTCTCTCTATATACGTTTGCCAATAAACCTTTTGTCTTGCTGCTCTTAACTTTTGCCAGAGACTAGCACAGATGCTGATCATTTGACTTAAGACTTAGATATTCTGTATATAAGTGAGAAGATACATTGTACTTTGTTCTCTATGGTATACCAACAAAAAGTGCTTTGATTTAAAGGCAGTATATAATTTATGATGCATTATATTTGTTTATTAACTCTACATTCCAAAATAAATGAGAATCATTTACTAGATTTTCAGGTCACTTGAGATGCAGCATTTAACAACAAATGAGTATTGAGACATGTCTGCCTGCAGGTTTATTTTACTTATATCAGTCCGCTTAACTGAAACCAGTGTTTTAACATGATCTTGAGAAAATAATCAAAGTTTTCACCCCAATTCATCCAGATTACAACAATTTTTATACTGGGATCAGTCAGACTTTCCTGCCCCGGTTATTCAAAATTGCTTCTAATCTACTGTATATATCAGTAGATGAAAACACAAACATATCTCAGCTGTTCTGTCATTTCTCCACTGCCATTATACCACGGAAGCGATTTTAAAATCCTCCTTTTTGCTTTTAAATGTAGTGACAGACTTATTCCTATGTTCCTTTCTGACCCGCTCCACCTCTGCGTTTTTTAAATGGAAATGTCATGAAAGCTGTACAAAACAAAATTTCCTTTTATACACTCTGTGTATACAAAATGACAATAAAAATTGTCTCAGTCTTTTCAAGGTAATCTTTTAGGTCATCTGAGTTGTCTCTGTTGGTCTCAGAGAAGATTTGGACATTTCAGAGTTCATTTTAAATTGCAAAACAAGTTTCCATTAAAAAAATACCCTCAGAAAAGTAGGCAGTTTGACAGAAAGGTGACATGTGAGGTCCTGCAGGTTAGATTGTAGTTTAATATGTTTTGGGTTTTTTTTGTTCATCCTTATTTTTAGCGGATTTGTTCATAATTTATTTACTTTTTTATCTCTATATGGAGTTTCATTAACTATATCATAGTGTAGTTCATTGTTAAGCCCTTGGAGGCGGTTTAAAAACTGATTACATTTTTTGCTTCTTCCGGCTTTCTTATTATTACTTTCATCTAGGTTAACATAATGCGAATGAATCTCAAAAGAAATTCTCTTGATGTTTTAAAGTCTCTTTTTTTAAACCATATTTTGTTTTATTGCATCACATTATTCATTTATTGCTTTTATTGATGTCTTGATTTGGCCTGTTATAAACACATGAACAGCCCACATCTTTAGGTACCAAGAAGCTGTGCCTACGAAAGTGGAACTCAACTGATTTTTAAACAGAACCAGGTTGAATGCTATACGATCACCACCATCAGTATCAAAATTTTGTTGCATTTGCTTAAATTATTTCTCACAGGATAAAATTAGGTTCGACCCTACTGTATACCAACCATGGACCGGTTCAGAGGCACTGAAGGTGGCTGTGGCCTTAAGCTACCAAGCCTGTGGAATTAAGAAATATATTATAGCTGGTTTTCAAAAATCTACAACTCAGTGCAACTGAAATGTTGATATTGAGGTCATGGTTGATAAATGTGTTTATTGCTCTGTAAATATATATATATATTTTTTAAGTGCATGTTTTTTTTTTTTTATAATTTACACCCCATTCTTTTAAATTATATCTAAGGTGAGACAGTGCTGTCTTTGATGTCCTGCTTTGTAGCAAAATACAATATAGAGCATGTCTTAACTGAGCTTAGGTGCTGCTCTAAAGAAAGACGTGTGTTGAGATCTTTGATGTAACCGGAACGACTCCTCTCTTAAGTCACACCCCTGCTTTAGAGTTTATAAAGGAAGAACTTCCCATTCAACTTCCTGTTGCCAGTAGCCCACGGCCGCGAAAGGCATAGAGATAGCTTAAGACAGAGGTTTTCAACAGAGGGTCCGCGACGCCTAGGGGTTCCATGGAGGTACTGCATGGGGGTCCAAAAGTTTTGGGTGATTAGACTTTTTTTTATATTCCCCCTGCAAATTTTTCCACTAATTGAAATGTTAAACACACATTAACATGAATTCAACACACTGAAGTAAACAGATAAATGGAGGAAGATGTCTTTCAGCCATCAATGCCCATCAACGAGGGATCAGAATCAGAAATACTTGAATAATCCCAGACCAAAATTACTTTCGTTACATTACCCCTTCTGTAATAGAGTGACTATAGGACAAGTTTGAAATAATACAATTTCATACAATATATATATATTTAGGGGGTCCCCGCTCCATCTCACTATCAGTTTGGGTGTCCTTGACCTGGAAAACATTGAAGACCCCTGGCTTAAGATAACCTGAGCCACTCTAACTATTAGCTTTATCAAAAAGGAAAGTTTTAAGACTACTATTAAAAGTAGACAGATTGTCTGCCTTACAGACTAAAACTGGTAGTTGCTTCCACAGAAAGGAGCCTGATAATTTAAAAATAGTAACATCCATCATTCTCCCTTTCCACCTGATGCTTCTTAAGTGCTCTGCTTCGGTGAACTAGGTAGAGTTTAAGTTGTGTTTGTGTTTTATTTAAAATAAGCTTTCTGACTCAATTGCTGATGGTTTTAAGAGTTTTAACTAAATGCCAATGCTCCAAGAACCGACTGGTGAACTTTTAAACCCCTGTTCCCCTTTTATTTGCTAATGTACTTGTGCTTATTTTCTGCAATGTTTTGTGTCCTTGTAGTTATTAGATATAATAACACTGTGTGATTGGAGCTGATAAAGGCACCACTGTATTTTAACCCATGGTTTTTTGTGTTTATTTTATGCAGTGTACAATTTATCACTCAGGCTGGATTTATTCTTCTTTTAGTAACATATGAATGAACAGATACAGATTTCTTTGGTTGTGATTAATAATGTTTCTGATAGCCATAGCCTTAACTACTAAATTTGTGGAGGCAACTTGATTTAAATAGCCGATCCAGGAGTCCAAACATTTATTTATGTAAGAGACTAAAAACCCAAAATTACACTTACAATAATTGAACTATTGATAATAATTAATTTGTTGTACCCTTGATTTGAATGATCTATTCAAATCAAATTATCTAAATATAACTGGAAGTTATATTTAATTAATATGTTCATAATATATTCATAATCTTCTGGTAATCTTTCACAACACATGCGTATGCAGTATTGTGATTACCTTTTCTGTTCCTGCGGTTTACATCATATATTAGTCTGGTGGAATTGCATCATGAAAAGGGTGGCAAGTTCCCTGAATTGTGTCTACTGGTCTGCTTTATTCAGTGTATATAAATTTGAATAACCTCTTAAGGTGTTTAGAGTGTTACACAAGAAACAAGCTGATTTAGTTTTAACTCATTTCCATTGCTAACAGTACACAGCACTTGCTAATATCATGTTCCCCTTCCATAGTTATACATGGATCTATAAGTAAACTTCACCAGTATTCCCAGATAAAGTGCCGATGTAGCAAACAACCCTCTGTGATCCAACGTACATTTATATTCTGTCAATCACAAAGACAAAGCTGCCTCCTCTCTATCGATTTCTAGCTTTATAGTGTCCTTAACCGTGGTAACAGGTTTAGAAGCATCGGTTATTACTGGTACTATATGTGTAGATTTTAGCCAGAGATTACTTTAAAGTTTGGATAAGCAAACCAATAAATTCTTGTAAGACTTTTAAAGAACCGAATGTCATTTTATTTTCAGCAAAAAGATAAAAACATCATTTCCACAGTTCTGCCTCTTTGAAATAAATAATACATAGTGGCTTCACATGTGCATACCCAGCACTAACATAACTTTGTTTAAGCTTGAAAAAAAAAACTAATAATAGAATTGGCACATTATGATTATTATACAGTGTGTCCTTTCACAATCAATATTCAAACCATACATTTTTTAAGATTTCATTTTCAAATGACATTATGCTGGACTTTGCAAACTACGGAAGCAAAATTAAATTACTTACAAACCGGACCTTTTTAAGGTCTGTCACTTTAAAAACAAATACTTATTTTATTCCTAGAGTCTAGGTGGAATAAATCTCTAGCACAACACATAAAAATCCATCATCAAGGCTCTTGAATCAGAACCACCAGCCTCATAGAAAATCTGAACAATTACACCCAGACAGTTCATAGCTTAGGATTTTTACTGTAGGTAATAGAAAGGCAGAAGTAGAAACAGACAGAGACACACACTACGTTGCAACATCTGCAAAATGCACTTTCAAGACAACGTTTGTGTTTCTCTTTGTCGTCTTATGATATATAAAACTGATGGATGTTGTTCTTTTTATGATTCACACAACTTCCTTAGCACATCAACTACTGCACTTGGTTATACTGTATATGTATGAATGTGTGTGTCATATAGTGTTAAAGATACTAGCCAGAGATGTATTTATTTATAGAAAAAAGCTGTACAATCATAAAATGCAGCTTAGTGATTAAGTATGTATTAATAATTGCAAAATAAAGATTTCAAAAGCAGATGTACAAAAACATAAATTTTAAAGGATTTACTCTGTTGGACCTCTTGAGGTAACAAATGACATCCGGCAGAGCAAGAATTCAAGTTTTGACTCATTCAACATTAGTTGTTTACACCTGTGCTGGGTCTCTTAGCAACAATAGGTCCTCCTATAGATGGTAAAGCTTATGCACATATTGATAAAGACATTGGTTGGCCTTTCAATATAATAGAGTTTAAATAAAACCGTTTCAACATTGTCATCTGCAATGCCACACTTCACTTTAATATATTTGGAATTTGTAGAGAAAGACCAACACAAATTAGATGACAACCCTGTAAAAAGAAATACAATTTTATAAATTTTTCATAAAAAAATACCACCTAAATAGTACATTTTAAACTTGTAATTGGTGTCAGTATTTTGGGAAATGATCTTAAGCTACAATTACAGCCCAGAAGTCATTTTAAAAAAGTCTCTACCAGCTTCACACATCTTTGGATTCAGATTTTTGCCCAGTTCTCTTTTCTAAATAACTAAAACATTCTAAAAAGGAATTATGACTGCCTATAAACAGCTATTGTCAAGCTTACTGACTAGATCTTGGTCTGAACTTTGAACCATTCTAACACACAGACACATTTTGATCTAAACCATTTAAATATAACCTTAACTATCTTTTTAGGGTCTGTTTGCTGTCCTGTTGGAAGGTACACCTCTCTCCAACGTCTCCAGTCTGGTGCTGATTCGGATAGGTGCGCCTTTAGGACGGAACTGAATTTAACTCCATCTATTCCCATCAGCTCTGAAGAACTTCAATGGCCCTGAAAAACAAAAATACTCTTTTTGATTGTAAAATTCTAAAATGTTGAGATATTAAGAAACGTATGAGCAGTTTTAGCAAGACGGTATGATCCTGAACCATTCCAAGTTCAGGAATGCATACTAATTCAATGTATTGTATATTATGAATATATTTACTTCTCCTATACGCATTCATATCTTTTTTGGCTGCACAGTTATAGGAAAGATGGTGATGGCATGACTCTCTGACAGCAGCATTCACAGTAGAGCCAACTGGCTGGATTTGGCTAATCTTAAGCGAGTATTCCTGGCAATCATTGATTCTGGTAGTGATGGATTTTGCAGTGGCATTGCAGCTACCTGTGGGACTGTTTTTTCATCCTAATCTTCTTTTAGATCAAATGAAGAATGACATATTGACCAGACTTTTTTAAGCTTTTTGCGTTAATTTGCTAAAAAGAAAAATTATGTTTTTCCATGTTTTATTTTATCTTCATATTATAAATATTATTTGGGCATTGATGCAGTACTTTCATGTAGCACTGACACATGTCCTTCTGCCCTAAAGAGAAAAAAAGAACTCAGCTGCTGACAAATAGAAAAACATGGAAAGAAAAGCATGGTTCAAAGAAGCAGCTCTTAAAAAATATGATGTGCAAACACCTATCATCTAGTGGAAAGAGGTCTCTCTTCTGTAGGGTAGATATTATTGTATGAAAAATTAATAAATACATTTTACATCTTCTATGGAAAGTATGTATTATTAATCCCTATATGAGTGCTACCCAAATAACTAACCTTTCTGCATAGCCTAACTAATGAACTTCTCTTAAAATTTCCCCAACAGTATGTTACATTTGGTTCTAACAATATATATTTTTAGTGGTGTGTTTGCTGTTCATTGAGGCTACTACAAAATAAATCTAGACTTTAGCGAGTAATGTACATTCTGCTTATCCGACAGTTCCGACTTTCGATTTTTCATGATTTTTTACCCATTTTTTTTTAAATCAAATGGAAAAAAAGACAGATTTTACCCAACCTTGGAGTAATTTCTCTAACCTGACAGAGGTGCAGACTGACCCGTAGCTACCTTTAGCAGAGTGCAAGAAGGTTGAACATACCACACTCACCCTATAGAATATGTTGGATTTGGAAAAGTGTATAGCTGTTTGAAAATCTCAAAGCTAATATAAGAATCATAATATTCTAATATTTAGTGAATACATACAGTATGGAGACAGAATATTTAAAACTAACTGCAATTCATGACAATTACAAATACAAAAATCTGAAATAACAGTTTGAGCTCTAACAATTTGTTCATGGTTTTAAAAAAGCATAAGAGTGGGTCAAATACAATAAGGTAATGCTGTCTTTGCTCTTAATACAAATGCATTATGAAAAATCAAAGCAGTAAGGCTGTAAAATATTTATTAGCCTGCTAATTAAAATTCCTAAAGAGAATTTGTAATTGGCTAAAATTGATAGGTCAAAATCTGACAATAAACAGAGATGTGATAAAAATCCCTGTTTGCTAGGTCCTAAACTAAATGATTTACCCCTTTTTGATATCAACATAAATTCATGTAGTCTAGGGACATCCTTTTAGATTTCTTTTTTTTTTGTTTTTCTACAGTGATTTACAACAAAATACTGAAACAAATGCTGCATTATAGGTGCTAATATATCAAGTGAATTTGATCAGCTTTTACAAACAGGTCTGGCTAGTAACTTTAAAAGGCATGACTGAGTCCAAGACTAATGTGGCTCTGGGTGTTAAGATTTATAAAATACAGGCCATTTTCAACTTTCTTCAGCAAAAAAAAAAGAAAAAAAGAGAGAGAGAGAGAGAAAAAAAAAACAGAAATAAGAAACATAAATTGTTCTCATATTTCATCTGGGTAGTCCAGAGACTACTGATTAGCTGCCAGGGGGACAGCCTTTCATGAGAAACTTTTTGTTTTTTAGCACAGAGATAGCAAAGGAATGCATCAAAGCAGGAGTGTTGTGCCTGTGCCCATCAACAGAATGAAAGGACAGGTTTCTCCCTATAAAAAAAAAGAAAACAGCTTCCACGTGTAATGCATTTTGCAGTCAGCGGTTGGACTCCGGCCCAAAAATATGAAACCTTTAATGTCTTTTGCACACAAGGCTTCCTCCTCAGTCAAGCCACTTTTGAAGTCAGTGTCAAAACTCACCATGGCAAGCTTTTTAAAGCCCATACAGGGAGGTAAACAAACCAAAAAAACCTTTGAAGTTAAAGCGTTTTCCCTTCAATCGCTTGTGTTGTCTTTGAATCTTTTCCTTAGCTGCACCAAGGTAGACAAAACCACTTGCTCTGACAATATATTACTCACGTATGAAAGTTCCAGAACTGTAAAGAGAGACATTTGGAGGCTATGATAGCACATTGCCACTGTCACTGTTGCCATACAGATCAGCCAACTTCTTAAAGCGCGGCCCCCAATTGCTGAGGTAGTCGTAGTTCTGGTCTGAATCCGTACTTAATGACTCCAAAGAACTCAGCGACTCAGCTACAGAACCGCTGCCTTCGAAGGCATATGTCTGCAGGGAATCATATGGGGGAGCTGTGGGGTCCACATCAGCGTCCTTCAGCCTCTCCCAAATGAACTCTCGAAACACAACATTGTCTGGCAGTGACCTGTAGGGTGGCCGTGAAGCAGAGGTGTAATGGTAGAATGTGGGAGTGTCAGGTGTGACGTCTCGCCGCACTGTGGGATCTCTAATGATGTTGAGATTGCGAAGGGTGACCATGTCAAAGGCCTCTGTGTCCTCCTCTCCCCCTCCTTCGTCATCATAACGGACAATGTTCTCTCTGATGTCCCTCTCCTCCTCCAGGATCAAGGGCTGCTTCCTTCTCCGGCGCATTGTTACAATCAGCAGAACCATCACTGCCAAAGAGAAAGAAGGTGATAAGCTTAAGTGTGTTCTACTGGATAATGTGGTTTATTTGTGCTGGTTGGTTAAAGTAATAAGGAAAGGTGAAGGAGATGTTGAGATTTAACTCATATGGCTTGAACGTCTTTACCCTGACCAGAAAACCAGGGAGACAGTATTTCAGCTGTTTATAAAGGGACCTATATTCTGCTAAATAAACTCCCATATTTTCCGGAGCATAGTGTGCACTATAAGCTGCTGATACATACTGAACTTTCTCCAACCAAACCTGTAGGGGGAGCTCTACATATAGCCCCTAGAGCAGGGGTCTGCAACCTTTCATATCCAAAGAGCCGTTTTGCCCAGAGTACGACCAAATAAAAGTTGTTTAGAGCCACAAAATATACCATGACTTTATCTAGAAAACCTTTTTTTTTTATCTTGTATAGGAAATTAGTTGTTGCCATCTCAAACAATCAGTTCATCTATTTTTTATGTTAAAACGTATAAATTTCAAGCTAATTCATAGAAAAATGTCTCTTAAAACATATTTCTGGTTCTTTTAATCTCATTCTTTTTCATCTTATAAAAAATGCTAAAGCTATTGATACCGGTATATATTATAGTAAATTATTTAGCTCTTTATATACATTTTAGCCACTATTAAGAGCCTCTGGAGAGGGTCCAAAGAGCCATATGTGGCTCCGGAGCCGCAGGTTGCAGACCCCTGCCCTAGAGCATTGACGAAGAACAATGCTGGTTCCCGTTAACTGGAGCTTAGTGCTTGAAGCACTTAAAGCTTCTACTGAAAGATGGGGCTTCGTCCGCTCTTTATTTCAGCTCTGCAGGAGTTGAGGACAGTCTCTTTATTGGTTTCGTAGGTTTAATGCAGCAAATAAATGTCAAAATGTGTAAATTCCAGACAATTGTTCTTCATCTTGCCTGCTGCTAGCATGTTCTTGTGTGAAATGAAAATGAGCACCTTATTCTTTCATTTCCAACTTTGACTTCCACCTCTGGCAGTTAGGAAAAATCAACAGAAAAGCCACAGCTTCTCATAAGCTGCATGGTGCAAAGCGTGAAAAAAAGTGGTTTATAGTTCAGAAAAAACGGTATGTTCCTATGTTATAACCCTATCCCGTCATCAACATTATGCCCATAGTGGGATTCATGCAAGTCTAAGTAATCCTTGAGAAATCTGCTCTCTAACCAGCAGCCTCTTCTTCTCCTGGAGAATTGTGATTACCTGCTCCAGGAAGCACCTACATAGACCGCGCTGCACCTGCCCAGTAAAAACCATGGATACTTCTTTTGATCAGCAAGCAGACATGTTAGGCACAACTAAATTGAGATTAATGGCTCTTTTAGCACCTAATCTGCATCTCCATGATAGTCGTTTTTTAGCTAATGTCTAACTTGCAAAAAGGTGTTTTTCAGAGGTCTCAGATTTTGTAATCTATCTAAAGAAGAGCTTTGTGGGTCTTATGAGTTTTAATGGTATGCGCCTCACAAGGGCGCACTTTCCTATGTAGAAATGGAAAGGCCACTCACTTTTTCGGGAAAAGAAGGGGCTGCTGTTGAGATTGCAGAATTCATGACGAGTACTCAGGCATGCATGAATAAAGCAAATACCACTTTGTGCATGATTTTGATTAAGGAATAGCACTATAACACAGTAAAGATTTTTTTTTTCTTATTTTCTCAGTTAGAAATATTCAATTTCAACAGCTTCCTGTGGAATATAAATTTCTTTGTAGTTTGATTGTCTTCATTAGGAATGCTTTTCCATGTTCCCTTAAAAAAAGAAATAACATTATGAAAATGACTAGACCAAATGATAAAAGATTAATGGTGAATCCAAACTCCATGAGTCCACAATAAACATTAAGCTGAGAACAAAAGCTAAATCTTTGATATAATTTGCTTTACCGTTTTTTTGACGCCCACATTGTGCTTCAAGACTTGTTCAGAGCTCCAATGTGCTGAATTCATGGGCCTCTGAGATCATATAGCCTCCTCCAACCTCTGCTCTCTCTTCCCATACATTATTGCTGAAAATAACTCCACGCCCAAGCAAACTGGCAAACGTCTAATGATCCTCTATCCATCAATGTCAAGCTGGTGCCAGTGAAATATCGTTCAGCAGGTCCATATTTCTTTTCCTGCCCAGCATCGAACTACTGCTGGCGGCAGAGAAAAGGGACCAGGAACCAAATTCAAAGACCACTTCACACCCTCTAATAAAGGAGCAAACAGAGGGGATGGGAGGGAGGGAGGTGTCACACCGAAGGACTGTGGTGATGAATGGGGAGCCCTCAGTTAGCTGTTTGGCAACTGCCTGCATCCAGGTTATCTACGGTGTCTTAAAAAGTCAATAATATAATTGAAATTTTACACAGATGAATATGGAAAAGAAAAATATTTATTCTCTAGATTTTTGTTCCTTCTTCTTTCATCCCTGCTTTACTTAATGTTTTTCTTCTTACCTTCCTCTCTTCGTGTATAGCCCCTTCTGTCATTGCTTCCACTCACAATTCCTGATGTCCTTTCTTCTTTTATTATTTGCTCTATTATTTCTTTCTTCCTTGCATACTACCTTTCCTTTTCATGCCAGCCTTGCTTTTTTGTTCCTTTCCCTTACAATTCTTCTTACGTTCTTTGTGTTACCTCTATTTTCCCTTTTTTTCCGTGGTTCAATCATTCTTTCCTGGTGTCCTTGCTTTGACTGTTTCTAGCTTTGTGACCTGCCATTCTTTCTCTTTTTGCCCTTTGTACCATGTTTTACTTCCTTCCTACCTTGTATACTGTGTTGTATATTTTGCCTTCATCATCTGCACTATAACCTAGGCATGCCCACAGTCAGTCCCTTATGGCCGCTGTCCTGCAGGTTTTAGAGGATTCCTGTTTCAGCACAGCTCATTTTCATTGAAAGCTGATTAACAGGCTTTTGCTGAACTGCAATCAACAGAATCAGTGCTGCCGCCACTCTTTCATGCAACGCCTTTTCTTTTTATGTCATTTTTTTTCTGATAAAATAAGCCCACACACTATCACCACTGTATCTGCTTCGTCTGCTGAGTTTGTTTACTAAGAAGTCATGCTGGATCTCGAGAAGTTTGGCAAGGTTTCCCGTCTGATAGCTAATGTTCTGGATGAAATTGGTCCGAGTGTACAGTAGTTTGTAGTGCTATGCTTGTCGTGTGGCTGGAGACAACAAAAATTACTCCATCCATGATTCTCATCTGCATGTGTAGGTGTCTCTTAAGTTTTGAAAGTCCAGTCTTAATGCTGGTTCACACAGAACACACTGGAACCTTAGTCATTCTAAATTCTATTCAATTCAGCAAGGCTCCACTAAAATGAATTACAAAGTGGCATACCTAAATAGAATATTCATGCAAAGCCCTTTACAGTCTAATGCCTAGAAGGTAGCCACAATGTTGCACAGACTGGAAAAAGGCCAACATTCAGTTACTACCTTCTAGGTGTAACAGGCTGATAGCAGAGAAAACAGATAGTTTGCATTGTTGCTCTTGTGAGGCACAGTTTGCAACCTTTAAGGTTTAGCAAATGCAGCCACGGTACAACAAGTAACCACTCTTCACTTTGGAGAACATGCACTAAAGATGTAAACTAAGTGAACACCAGAGGAAAAAAGGAGATCAATTCCCCGCTACAAAGGCTTTTGCTGTAATTGAATTGTTTAAATGATCTACCCAACACAATCGATAGTGAACAAGGTGAAATTTCTCTTCTGCCCTTTTCTTACCAGCAGGCATCACTTTCTCATTAGAGTATTTCTATATGTGTGATTCAGGTGAAGATGTGACAGATTATTTACTCACTCCATCACCCACACAGTCTGTGTCTCTGTACTGGATTGTGGTTTAATAAAGCTGTATCAATCAATGACGGACAAAGCATGACATATAAGGAGATTTTAGACAAGCCTCACATTCAAAGCTTGGTGGGTTTTTTTTTTTTTTTTGCATTGCTCAGCTGCTGCATCCTGGCTTCCCTGTAGCTGAGATGCTGCATGTCATCTTTCCAGAACACGTATTTTACATTTAATATATTTAAATGTAGTTTCTGTTTCTCCAATCCTAAATGAAACATGACACTGAATAAAACAGGAAGGAATGCTTTTAGTAAGAGGTGTCACATGTTATTTAAGTTTTTTTTTTTTCTTTTTACCAATATACACCACAGCAAAGGTATTCCGGAAAAGAGGCATGTTCAATATCTGCAAATTATAAGTGAATAATATCCAACTTAGTAACTTGAGTTTAAAATTCAGGCTGTTTAGATGTCTCTATAAAAACTTTTTTTTACATCAACAGATAACATTGGCAGAGGGAAAGTTTAATTTCTCTGAGGATTAATTAGACCACTTTAAAAAAGCTAGTAGGATTATTGTGATGAGAAAAAAATGTATAAGCATAAAAAAAGACTATTTTCAATGGAGTAGATTCAATTAATACTAGCAATAATAAAATGTCTTTAGGGTTACAACAGCACCCCTTAGCTTATATTTATGTATTTGCTATTGAAAGAATGCATTCCAAACAATATTTTTTCATTAATCATTTCTATTTGAAACATTGGAACACCATAAAGAGCTAATTAATTTTTAGATAAGCCATTTGTTAAGCTGGCCCCTCTTTATTTGCTTAAATTAAAGTTTATCTTATTTAGTATTTTAGCATATTCTCTGTACTTTATCTTAAATATCTAGTATCATTTCGTGCAGTTGTTGACAATTCTTTAACTTAAAGGTATAGTGGAGGAAGTTCTTTTTTCGGGTGGATAATCCAAATAAGTGGTCCTTCTTATTGTCAATCATTCTGGTGATATGTTTACGTAGAGCTATCCTACCTGCTAAGCTGTCCTTAGTAGAAAAATTGCGAATTTTCTTTAAGAAAGTAAGCTTGTATGAGTGATGCAAACAGCAACTTTTTAACAAGGCGTGCAAAAGGAGAAATGGGCTCATGCTGCTCTTGCACGTGTTTTTTTT